TCACTGACAAGCCTCCTGAGCTTGTCAAAGTCGGCTTTCCTGAAGTCAAAGACTTGCGTGTTGCTGACCGACTTGCCAGCTTTTCGGCGGATGGTGAAGGTGATCAGCTCGTGGTCGCTGTCATCCAGCTTCCCATCGATCACTAGGTCGCCGACTAGGTCATCCCCAGTAGCCAGTACCAGGTCGAGCAGCGCTTTGCCTCTCGTTGGCCCATAGACTTCTTGAGTCAGGTAGAGGTCATCCACACACGAGAGGAAGCTCTGAGACCGCTCAGATTTTGCTGAGCGATCCTCCCATGAGATGTCTGGGTAATTGAAGTCACCCATGACAACCATGGTCCTGGAGCAAGCTGCCTCAGCCAGTTCCTGGGCAAACTCCTGGTCAAACTCAGAACTTGAGCTTGACCAGGAGCCAGGACCTGAGCTTGATGATCCTTCATGAAGCATCATGTCTTGTCCCCCTCTTCTTCCTGTGCAATCTACTTGTCGATGAATCTTCTGAAGCCTGATCCACGTATCAATACATTCAAAAACAGTCTTTCTATGGACTGCAGTAGGGTTCGTGTCTTGGTCCCTTCTCTTTGGTGTCCATTCCAATTCCTTCCTCCTTTCCCTGCATCAGCCACTGTCATAAACCATATGCTTTAACTGAAGGACAGTGCCTTCCATTACGTGTTTTAGAAGCTCCAAGGAATCATTACTTGGTACTACAGTGAAGCCCTTCTGACAGCCAGGAAAAGTCTACATTTAAGTGCCTAACTTTGGACAGCCATGTTTGAGATGCATACCTGTTTTTGGTGTTGCATTTTGAAGGCAGCCAGCTGAGCACGCATACTTCCATAAGCATATGCACATATATACATACACTTCTTTGTGCCCTGAACAACTGGGAGCCATAGCTTGGCAAATTCATATGTCCCTTCACAGATCATGTTCAACAGGGTGGACTGAACTGCTAAGCAAGCAGAGTCTGCAGAACATCTGCTGCTTATTCTTCTGCCTCTGCATGTGTCAGGACTTCCTGACATCGTGGGCCTGGATTCTACATGCGGACACCTTTAATAAGAAATTAAAATTGCACCTTCAGATACCAAATTCCAATTCGGGCCCATCCAGTGGGAACTTCAGCCTGGCATGTGCTTGTGTTGCTGTGTATCAGTGAGGTGTCACCAACACAGCCCATAGCATAAATGTGTCCCATAGGAGAATGGTTATATCTGTTGCATCTTTATACTGATATAATCGTGTCTATACTAGGGGGATATATCATTTTAGCTGCTGTTACAGTAAAGGGGTATAGCTTTCTATGAGGCCCTGCATGCACAAATACTGATCTGAGTGTCAAAGCTGTCTATGAAGGATGTTGCATCTGAAAACTCTGCTTTGCTGCACCTGAGCATGACAAGTCTTTGCACTTCTGTACTACCTTTTACCCACTGATCTCCAAGGATTTTAAGCAGGTGAATAACTCCTTGTTACACATGGGGAAAAACACATAGCAATCCAGCTAGGCAGAAACAAAACAGAGAATGAACCTAAGCCTCCTGGCTCCTACCCTCAGTTGTAATCTCCAGCCATGCCTCCCCTGTGTCTGCCTTGGACCCTGCGTGCTAGTTTTCAGTATGGAGCTATTACTATTACTAGTCGTGTGCATTATGACTACAGAGGCAGGGTGACCCAGTGAAGAGAGTGCTGACTTGGGACTGAGAAAACATGGATTCGCCCCATTCTCACCTCTGCCACTGGCCTGCTGGGTGACCCTGGGCAACTGACTTTACCACTCCATGCCTCAGTTTCCTCTTCTGTAAAAATAGGCACAATAATAGCAAGCTTTTTTACAAAGCACTTTGAGCTCTAAAGATCTAGGTAGTATCACCTCAACTACAGATGCTGTGAAAGTCTATTCAAGCATCTGCCTCCTATAGTTGCCAGTCCTATTTGGGGCAGAGCACAGTAGGTTTTGCATTACTCCCATCCCTTCTCAACCAAAGCACCCTCTGTGGCTCTTGTGCATAGTGCTGGCCAGCTACCTGTGGTTCAATAAAACGTTCATCCAGATTCTCAGTCACAAAGTCCTGCATAGCATTAGTGACCTTATCTCCTCTCAGGCAACGCAGGACCAGAAGCTTCTGGAATGAGTCCAACTTAGCGTTCCAAATCCCAGGCAGGGGCTCCCTGCAAGAGAATTACGTGATGAATTTGGGGGTTATGTTCTGGGAATAAAGAGGGCTTTAAACAGATGCCACATTCACTAGACTCCAGGAAAACAACTCTCCTAGATACAACTAGGTATGTATCAGGATCTTCTGAAGTCATTAATTCAGCTCCTTTTACAGGCTATTTTACTGTAACCTTAGCCAATCAGAAGTCAGAATTCAAAACCCCTGATCAAAGAGGGACTCACCTGTGCGGCTCGGGGCTGTCAAAAATTGCTTGGAACTCTGAGATATTGTCCACAAAATCATCTGCAAAGCTGGAGAAATTGTTCAGGTTGCTTAAGGCCAAGATGTCGCCCCATGCTCTCTCATACAGCCATTCAGGAGCTGGATTCTCTTTCATGGTTTTAATGGCACCTCCAGACAGTAGGTAACGCCATTCATCCTGTGGACAACAGGACACATTTGCTATGAGTGTATTCAGACTTGATGCTCTTGGTTGTGACTATGTCCGACACCATGAACCCACATCAAGAAAGTCCTATAGCAACTTCATGCTGTGGCTGTGTCCTATGTGTGTCTGCTAGATTCACAATGTGGCAAAGCTTATGGCAGGATACATTCGCCCATTCAGTCACTGCATCTGGTAATCACACCTCCTTCCCCTACAGTGCTCTGTAAATGAACTTCAGTCTTAACTCTCAGGGCAATCTCTGCTGAATGTGAGAAAGCAGATTAAATTATCTAGAAAGCCTACATCAGGTTGGCATACAGGTGATTCATTCCTTGCTACAGTCCTTCTTTCAGACCTAGGAGAAGGGAAAGGGTGTCCAGTACCGGGTTCACTCAGAAGCAATTCCAAAGAAGAAAAAGAAGAAAGGAAAGAAATGAAAAAGATGATGGCAGCAGCCAGATGCCAAACAGGAAAGGAAACCTGGAGACTCATAATGTTGAGCCTGACAGCTTTACGTGTTCTTCTTCTCTCCCCCATTCAGCTTGGGAACAAAGCTATGTCTGAGAGCCATTCCCTTGGAAACACCAGGTTATTTACATGAGATGAGATATCCTGCCATCACCCACCATGCCCTTTGTGTATGCAGTCAAAAGGTTTTTTGATGACAGACAAATTCAGCCACTCATTACCCTGTGTTCTCTTAGTCATTCCCTGAGCCTTTTCCTCATTGCCAAATTCTGCTGAAAGGTTTATTTTGCAGGCTAAACTGAAAGGCCAAATTACCTAGGAAGGACAACTCAAGGTTCAATTAGTCTTTTAATATGTTTGGACAACTCAGAACTTCAGCTAGTTCTTAACAGATGATCAGGATGAATCTTTTTTGCCTCATGCACAGAAACTGGATGGGAAATATAAATCATCACACCCTGATGAAAAAATATAAGTACAGACAAAGTATGGCATCTCCAGTTTCAGGAGTAGGAGCAATGTGAACTTCATCAGCCATGGGAAATCATCCTTCAAGGGCCAGGGAAACTGCTTACTCACCATGTTGATTTTCCCTTCATTCATCATGATCCTGACACACAACAGGAAAGCAAACATGAGCTTGTGCTTCTCAAACAGACTGCGGCACACGTTGCTGTACAGACTGAAGGTGACGTAGTTGTTTATGTTCACTATCCGCTTCTTCAGGGTGTCTGAAAATAGCCAAAAGCAAACCAGCAATGCCAGGAGTAGAAAGATCTACTCTCAGTACCAATCTTTTGCCCCCTATTGACTGGGAACAGGTCCCTTTTCAGCATACATGAGTGTCCTTATGTAAACTCTGTGATGAACTCTAGGCCCTCTTATGCCTTTCCCACCATGTCTTGGCTTCTGCAGCAAAGTCTGCTCTCCCTCAAGGAAGAATGGATCAAATCCTAGGCTATTTACACAGGCACATGCTCAATTACTGACTAAGAACCTCAAGCTCCAGCCCATCATGAATGCACTTGGAATATTTCTGGTAATGCAGGTGCAAAGGCTGCTGCCATGGTCACCAAATCACATCTTTAAAAAATCTCACAATTTGCATCTGGCCCTGGAGTTTGTATTACTTGCTGGATGCTTTTCCAGGGATTGCAGCAACATGACAGCGACAAAGAGAAAAGGTTGTCTAGGCACCAGTTTCAAGGGTATGCTGTGCTGCCAGCATCTTAAATGCTCTCATTTGTGACATTTTTTGGGTCCAACTAACAGCAACACCCTGCAGTCTTTGCCTGTGACTGGCATGATGGTCCAACAGCAGTGAGAAATGCTCTCACAGAGGGGTCCCCAGCAGGCCAACAGGGTTCCTTGCATTGCAGAAAACCATGCTGATGGCTTGCCATTCATAAACGCTGGATTGAAGATGTCTGGACTCAAGGGCTTATAAAACAGTTTGTTGCAGGACTAAAGCAGTCTCCCCAAAGAAGCAGCAGATGTCCTGACTGAAAAGGACATGCTCCTTATTCATGTTCTTATTAGGTGAGAAGTTGCCTGCTCAGATGAAAGTCAGTGTGGGGTCTGATCCCAGCAAGACTGCTTAGACATGACCTTGGACAGAATGAGACCCATTCTAGAGCTTCTCAGAATAAAGAGCTGGGGCCACTTGAGATCTGGCATAAATAAAACTGCATTGGCTTTGGTGAGGTGCTTGCACAACTGATCACCAGTTTTTGAGCAAGAAAGGGAAGTGATCAAGTTTTCACATGTGCAAGGTATCTGTTCAAGGGTCCCCTGCCCATGGCTCTAACTCGCCAAAGGTACCTGCTCTCTCGGAGTTTGCGATTCCTGACAGGAAGATGTTGAGAAACCATTCAAGAGAATACTGATACATAGGGTCAACGTTGGACAGGTCCGAGACACAGAAGTAGAGGATTTGTGTGCGCACAGCAACAGGCACATACTCCAAGCGAGTGATGTCAATGTCTTTTTCTGTCTGCTCAGCTATCTTCACTTTGGCCTGCAGAAATGTTTGGAGGCATCACAATGGGGCATTATCTCATTTCTGTGAAGCAAGATTGGATGGGGGAAGTGACAAGTCACTGACCTGGATTTCCCCAGCTTTTAGCTTGGAAGCCTCCAGCACTTTGATGAGCTCCAAGTCATCAACAGGGTTTCCCTCAGAGGAGCTCAGCCGGTACAGGATTTGATCCTCTATCCCCTTTAGCTCTTGTCTCATTTTGGCATTGCTAATGATCAGCTGGTTCTTGGCTTCTTCTAAGTCAGGCCGCTCCTCAGCTACCACTTGTCCCAGCAGCTGGTCTTCCAAGCCACTGTAAGTAAAACCTTCAGCTGTCATAGCTGGGATGTTGGATCAGTGGGATCCAAGCTATGGAGTTTCTGAGCAGGTAGGGAGATCACACCCATTGGACTTGGGAAAATACAGGAAGATGCCACACTTAATGTAAAATCCAACATGGCTGCAAGTAGGGAAGGACTAATGATCTTATAAGACTAGAGGAATGAAAAGGAAGAGAGGCAGGGGGAAGAGGTCTGAACACAGAGCAGCAAGGAGTACTCTCAGGACAGAAGGAGAGAGTCAGGGAGCATGTGAAGTATAGCAGAATGTAATGATACTACACAACCTTAAATTGACACCTTTTTTCTGGAGCCACATGATACAATTCTCTGTGGTAGTGCCATGCCCTTATCACTGAGTCTGAATACTCACTGCTTTCCTGTTTGCTACAGCAATGCAATAGAGAGGAGAAACTGAGGCACAGAAGGACTAATTTGCCCAAGCTCAGATAGGGACTCTGTGCAGACAAGGGATCTGAAGTCAGGGATCTGAAGTGTCCTGACCCCATGAAAACACCCTTGCTTCCTACATGCTGGCTTTGATTTCTAGAGCTAAGGAAAAGAACTCTTTTTCCCCCTCTTCATCCCCTAGAACAAGAGGGCAAGAGGCCAAATGTCATAACAGTTAAATAGCTACAGGCACAAGTGGGTGACCGGTTACCTGGGAGAGAGGGTGAAGTTAATCAGTGTGAGTTTGGTGGATATCTCTGGTGTATAGTGGGGATTGGGCAGGTTGGTGGTGATGTACATCTTGAAGTCATCATGGTATGGAATAACTGTGTCACCCAACTTCAGCACTGTGCTGCCTTGCTGTTTATAAGTCTGCACAAGAGAGGAACAAGTATGACACAAGCAGAGACTCTTTCAATAAGGATGTGAGTTGGGAGAACCCACCTAAGATGCAGCCTCACTGTTCCTCTGCCATCATTGCCAGGGCAGGAGGGCAGCTAGCTAGACAGTTCCAGTCACCTTGGAGGTCTGGGGACCCAGCTGCCATTATTTCACCTGAGCATCCCAAATGCCATGAACCCAAACTCCCAATCTAAACATGCAAGTTCCTCATAAAGGAAGGAAAAGTGACACCTCCAGTCTACCCTAGTTCCTGGCTTGCCAGGACTTCCCTAACCAACAGAAGGGAAGGAACCTGTTTCAGCAAGACTGGTTCAAGAGCCGGATCCAGCTCCTCCCCTACGTTCTCCAGCGGGAATGGCTTCCCGAAGCGAATGGAGTTCTCTAGGCTGCGCAGGAAGTAGGAATGGCTTCCCGAAGCGAATGGAGTTCTCTAGGCTGCGCAGGAAGTCTCGATCACTCAGCTTGGCCACCTCCAGGCTATTCTCCTTTTCCTTGGGGAAAACAAGGTGAGTGGGAGTCCAGCATGTGTGTATGACCAAAGCGGGAAAGCAAAACTTTGTGTACACACTGTAACCTTTGCTAATGCACCACTAAAACTGCAAATAGATGTAAAAGGAATTAAAAGAGACGTTTCTGTGTTGCACCATTTGTGTGGCACTAACTGAACATAATATATGCAACTCAGCAAATGCCTAGGACATGCCTCATGGCCAAAGTAACATGAGAATGTTTTGCTCACATCTGTAGCTGCAACCCTCACACTACATTTTGCAAGGGCCTAATCCTTCCCCCTTTCAGTGCTAAGGGCCCTGCTACTTGGGGCTGCTAGGAATGGAGAACTGAACTGACAGTGCTGCCATGTTCCATCCCACTGATTAGCTCACAAAAGGAGCAGCAAGTACTGAAGTCCTTTCCCTCTGCATAGACATCAACTGAAGAAGGAAGAAAATGGGGGGAGTGGAAAGAACTGTTCTGCATCTCCCGACACTGAACGTAGATCGGAGTAGCCTCTTTTGTATCAAACAACTTGGCTCCCCAATGGTCAAAAATAGAATTTTGGTAAGAATCCTTACCAAATTCTTGATCCACTTGTTGGCTTGTCCTTGGGGGTCTATGAAATGAGTCCAGCGCTGTGAAAACTGTGTTATTACTCCATTCTCCACAGACAGGGTGTCATTGGGCAAACCAGCAATCTGAGTGCAGATGAAAAAGCATCATGGCAGGTATCTAACAGCAGCAGCATAACTCATCTCCAGCTGTCCCTACTAGTGCCAGGGATGTTCCTGTGCTTTTAGAAGCTGTACAGATGGTCCTTTTTGGGATTTCTTCCATGGTCCCTCCTGAACTACCTAAGCTATTTCAAGCTCCTCTTAGCTTCCTGGCCTCGTCTTCAGCCTTGTCTTCAGGTTTCAATGACTAGAAGCTGGGAATGGGCTGACATTACCTAATCCCTCAGCCTGCATTACTGCATTTGCCTACCACATACCTGCCAGGATCGGATTTTTACAGGGTCTCCAAGAGTTCCTATAAGGTTGGGTTCCTTGGTGTGTGGAACACCATGTTCCTCCATTTTCTGTATCCAGTCCTCATACAGTGCTGTGCGGTATTGTCCCTGTCAGGAAGAGATTAACTGTTATCTGCAAATTATACATGGCCGTGTGTTGCTTTAAAATTAAGATCCTTTTCCTGTTTATAGTTAAATCAGGTTCCATAACTTACCATCACCTCTTAATGTAGCAAAGGGAGGTGGTCTAAGGTGAAACCTAGAGCTCATTTGTCAGGTTGCACTCCTGCTCCTTCACAGGTTTCCAAAGAAGCCAGGCTTTCAGCATGACAAACACAGAGTGCAGGCTTTTAGGAGCCCGGGAGGCAGTTGGAATACTGCCAAAACTGGTTGTTAGTGATGAGCTTGGCAGTTCTTGGATGCTAGACTAAACTGTGCAGTGGCACAGTGCAGCCCCATTACCTTCACTATAACCATTTCACCATCACTAAGAGCCAGACTTGGCTCAGTTATGTTTTCTGCTTGGGATATTTGATAAAGAGGAGGCTGGGTTATAGGCCCTTGGGCTAAGAGAGATGTAAAGCTGACCTTGGCTCCTTCAGGGAAGGAGTTTCTGTTATCTGCTTACTGTGAAAGGACCCAGGTATGCCACGAAGCCAGCCGAAACCAGCACATCTCCTGCAACGTTGTTGATCATATAATCCAGGTTCTGGACTGTGTCCTGCCAGCGCACCCTCTCATCTGCTAGCCCGTTAATTAACTGTGAAAAGGCCAGACACAACATGTTATCATCCAACTTTCTCCTAGTACAACCTTGTTCCACTGAACAACACACCTCTAAGGAGTGCTTTACTGGAACAGTGGTCAGGACCTTGCTACATGCCCCCCTCAGTGCCAGAGCTCCTGGAACAACTTTAAATTGTGTCCAGCTGCCCTGGCAGTATTATTAGAGCACAGTGATGCTCCAGTTCTGTCCCTAGTCTACCTCTGAGGCACATACAAGGCAGTGGCTGGAAAGGAGGTGATCAAAGGCTGCCTAGCCAAAACAATCCCCATTTTTTAAACTCATTTCCTGACCCCTTTGTGTACCAAGTGGGGCCAGGAGCTGTCTCAATGGCTCTGTTCTGTTGTTTATTGTGAGTGTAGGGGAAATGCTAAAGGAAGCAGTACATAGAAGCAAGACTTTCACCAACAGGCCTTTGTGCCAAGGCACCAGGTTGTCAGATTATCTGAAAAGAATACGCTACAAGCTGACAGAGTTAGAACTAGGACAGGGCTCCCTCACTGACCTTGTCAGCCCGGCTCAGTCTCTGCTCACACTGCTCACACTTCATCTCCAGCTCCTCTTTCTTAGCAATGTAGCTCCTATATTTGGCCTGCATCATGGCAATGCCATCCTCTACGTCTCTCAGACGCTCTTTGGCTTCATCGAGGATCTTCTGAGTGACCTGGAGGTCCTCTTCTGCCTCCCGCAAGGCTTGCTGTGAAAAACACATAGGATTTTCAAATGTTAGCACCAAACAGGAGGGCTGAGGCCTGAAGCATACTCAGGTGGGCCTCCTTATTCCAAAGGCTGAAGTTGTCAGCTCTCCATCCAAACATCATTAAAAGGTCTAAAAACACTAGCTGAAAATTTTCTAACTTCATTGGTATTGCACACAACAAAAGATAACTACTGTAGGGGCTGAAATACTTCGTAATCTAGTAGAGAAAGGCAAAACAAAAACTGACGGCTGGAAAGTGAAGCCAGGCAAATGCAAATGAGGGGAGTGAAAAACCAGTGGAACAAGCTACCAAGGAAAAGAGTGGACTGGATGCCAGTCTGGAAGATATAATTTTGTCAAGCACACGGAGTGAGACCCATTGCAGGTATAAGAGTGCAATTTAATGGTCTATACTTTGGGTGCTCAAACCCTGGCCCATAGGCCAGGTTCAGCCCCCAGTGCCATGTCATCCAGACCACAGGATGTGGGGATTTGGGGTGAGTCCCATGGGCTATGGCCCTGCAAGCTATATTAGGTATGCAGGGCTGCATGGGGCACAACCCCTGTGTGCAGGGACAAGGAGGGGCCAGATTGCCTTCTATGACAAGATGACTGGTTCTATGGATGCAGGAAGAGCAGTGGACATGATATACTTTGCCTAATGATATGGTCTCCCATAAAATTCTTGAAGCAAGCCAAGGAAGTACAGGTTGAATTAATGCACTGTAAAGTGGATAGAAAACCGGCTGGATCATTGGGCTCAAAAGGTAGTAGTCAATGGCTTTATGTCTAGTTGGCAGCCAGTATCAAGTGGAGTGCCCCAGGGCTCAGTCCTGGGGCTGGTTTTGTTCAATGTCTTCATCAATGACCTGGAAGATGGGATGGAGTGCAAACCTCAGCAAGTTTGCAGATGACACCAACCTGAGGAGAGTAGTAGACATGCTGGAGGGTAGGGCTAGGATTCCGAGAGACCTCGACAAATTGGAGGACTGGACCAAAAGAAATATCATGAGGTTCAACAAGGACAAGTGCAAAGTCCTGCACTTAGGATGAAACAATCCATGCACCGATACAGGCTGGGGACCTACTGACTACGCAGCAGAAAAGGACCTGGGGGTTACAGTAGACAATAAGATTAATATGACTCAACAGTGTGCCCTTGTTGCAAAGAAGGCTAACGGCATACTGGGCTGCATTAGTAGGAACACTGCCAGCAGATCAAGGAAAGTCATTATTCTCCTCTATTCAGCACTGGTGAGACCACATCTGGAGTACTGTGTCCAGTTTTGGGCCCCCCACTACAGAAAGGATGTAGACAAATTGGAGAGTCCAGCTGAGGGCTATGAAAAATGGTTCGGGGACTACAGCACCTGACTTAAGAGAAGAGGCTGAGGAAACTGGACTTATTTAGTTTGGAGAAGAGAAGACTGAGGGGGGGATTTAATAGAAGCCTTCAACTACCTAAAGGGTGGTTCCAAAGAGGAAGGAGCTAGACTGTTTTTAGTGGTGGCAGATGGCAGAACAAAGAGCAATGGTCTCAAGCTACAGCAAGGGAAGTTTAGGTTAGCTATTAGGAAAAATTCTGTCATGAGGAGGGCAATAAGCACTGGAACAGGTTACCTAGACAGGTTGTGGAGTTTCCATCCTTGGAGGTTTTTAAGACCCAGCTAGACAAAGCCTTGGCTGGGATGATCTAGTTTCGGATGGTTCTAACTTGAGCAGCGGGTTAGACTAGATGGCCTCCTGAGGTCCCTTCCAATCCTAATTTTTTATGCTTCTATAATCCTGGTACATGGGGGTGTCATAGTATCCCCAGAGCCCAATCCTGGCATGCAAGGGCAGTGTGGGGCCCTATCTGGCCTTCACACTGGCCCCATGCCATTCACCTGTCTTGTAGGGACAAAACTGAGCATCACTGTTCTATAATATAGAGGAGGTCAGACTAGATGAATGAATCGTTCCTTCGATCCTTAAACTCTATGACAGTATTTGACCTCTATGTTGTTACCACAGGCCTGGGCTCACCCAATGCTTAGGTGTGGGTTTGTTTTAAGGGCAAGTGGTTGCCTATCCTACTGAGAAATTAGGGGTGGCAACAACCCCCAAATATGAAAAACGAAACATGTCATTCATCAGAAATGGTTGTTCTTTAAAAATAATAATAAAAAAATGTCAATGTTACAGAACTTTCTTTATTCCACTTCAACTGATTCTACTCACTGCAACTGCTGCAAGTGGTTTAATTTGAGAGATTTAGTGTCAGCTTGAAATAGTGTTCAAGCCTGGAAAGAACATATCAACTATCCTGCAAAATGTCCAAAAAAGGCAGATCAATATAAACAGCAAGTGGATAGACTTAGAAATAAGTCTGAAGTCAGACTGTCCAATTCATAAAAAAGTAGTATCAAATTCTTTGACAGAACACGAACAAACTGATTTGGTAAAGCTTTTGATTTGATCAGGCTGCATGGACTAGAAAACAATCTCCAACAAGGTACATCAGACAAGCTCTATATTGCTCAAACTGTTGATATTTGTGGAGTTCCTTGGGAAATATGACCTTGTGATGAAAGATAATCTCTGATGAATTACATCAAAGGAAATTCATGACAATTATCTGGGTGGATGTATTCAAAACAAAATTATTCAACTCCTTTGGAATAACAACAGGAAAGAGATTATTTCTATTTTGAAAGCTGAAAGTATTATTCTATTATACTTGACTGCACCCAAGACAAACTAGATGAAATGATTGTTAGATTTGTTTCTGCAGAAGAAAACAACAAAGGCGAGAGGAGGGAAATGTTGTGATCAAAGAACATTTTGTTGGAGTTTGAATAGGACCAATTCTTCTGGCACTGCAAGACAGCAGCTCTCTTTGAACAGTTATAAGAAATGGGAATTTCACTCAGTGATTTGAGAAGTCAAAGTAATAACAAGGGAGGAAAAGGAAAGGTGAAGGCTGGAATTCAGAAGAGAACTGGGGAATCTGACCAGAAGAGTAGCTTTTTGTCCCTTGCAAACGCACATTCTTTGACTCTTGTACTGAATGATACTGTAAATTATTGCACTTGAAACTGTGGTATTGTTTGATGCAGTTCACAGTATTTTTCCATTTTTGCAGTCTCACTGCAAGAGAGAGGTAATGTGCCAACACACAACCAGCCTGTTTCCAAAACCCTCAAGTGAAATGTGATGGGATCTACTTCCGTTGGCACCAAATTTCAGAAGTCTATGTCACTTTAGTTTTACATATCAATGCTTCAAAACTTAAGGGATTTGAAGGAATAAAAACTCAAAGCAATGCTAAATTGCTGACTCATGAAATCTGTAACCACACATTATTGTGCAGTGTGTTGTTCTGTCATGATACAGATTATAAAGTCAACATTGCATGCATATCAGCCTCTGGCTTTACTATTCATTCCATCCAGGAAGAGCACACACCAACTGCAGATGCTTCCTCAGCCAAATGAAGGGTATTGTACCCGAAAGCTTGCAAAGAAGAATGTTTCCAACTATTTAAGTTGGTCTAATAAAAGGTATCATATTTACCAAAAGAACCTTGTCTGCTACACTGCAAATAAAACACTCCAAGTGGATATTGAACAAACTGTGCATCAGCTAAAAGCCTCAAAGGATTCCCTTATAAACTGTCCTTGTGTTAAGGGACACACAAATGTCCTTATTAACAAGGAGGAACTTGAAGTGAGTTTACCACAGGAAAGACAACTTAGAACAGAAATCAAAGACAGAATGTTTGATTATAAGTCCAGGGATGAATTGATAACTAATCCAGAGAAGAGCTATAAAATAAAAAAATGTCTATTATACTTAGAAGTTTAGCATTTTTACAGTTACACCATCACTTAAAGAAAGATATTTTGCAACCTGAGGAGAACCATACGCTGTCTGTTGTTACTTCTTTTTTTTTATGACGACTCAAATACACCCTGCAAGGAATTATAACATCATTGTACTGTTTTATGCAAAGCATTAAAAGATGGGCAACATGGTGAAGAGAGATCTTCTGACACACACGTACTGAATCTCTGCAATGAAATTCAACCCCTGCCCAGAGACTGGATCCTGGAATAGGCTCAAAAGCTAAGTTAAAATTTCTGTGCAAAAATAAACTTTGGCCTTCCCTTCCAAACATATCTACCACCCTCAGGATTCTGCCTATGTTTCTTAAGAGAAGAATGCATTTTTTCAAGGTGCTTTTGCATTGTACAATGACGTCATCTTGGTTGATGGGTCCTGTTTCAATTTCAGTTGAAAAACAATTTGTGGAAAGAGATGTCATCCATGAGCTCACATATATTAAAGCTAGAAAAATGAAGTTCAAAGATGCTAGCTGCTAGGCCCAAGGCTTTGTGAAAAAAAGGCTTGAAGGACTGGCTGTGTGTTTCATTTTCACATTCTTCACTTAGTTCCATGCTTGCATTGCAAATTATCAAGTGATGAATCTAATTCTCTTAGCAATTTACTGGGGTGTTAGGTAGCTAATGGAGAAGGGAAGCAAAAAGCACTTCTGCCTACCCTAAAAAATAAGCTGTAGCTGGTACAGACATATATTACTTGGGTGCTTAAATGTTCAGAGCCTAACTTTATACTTAGGCACCTAAAGAAAAGGCCTGGTATTCAAAAATGTTGAGCACCTGGAGCTCTAACTAAAGAAAGGTCATAGGGGCACTCAGCATATTTCAGGTCTAGATCTAGTTTGATTAATTCATTTGCTTCTAGGACCCTGCTGTCAGTGGCAATCACAGACTCAAAGAATTAATCACAAAGTTGACTCATTTATATGATTTACCCTTTTCTCCTTAAAATCATGACTCCACAGAAGGAAAAAACCCCCAAAAGTGGTTAAGGATGAGGTGAGATGAATCCTTTGGGTAACTCTAACTAGGAAATGAAGTGCCTCAAGAACATCACACTTTCCAAGTGAAATAAGGTACTTGAAAATAGATAACATTTCATATGGAGTACAGTAATAACTAACAAGTCCCTTTCCACAGAATTTTCCATGTTTAGACACCAGCTAATTGCTCCTCTCAGAACACCTGTGGGTAGGTCAGTGTTACCTCCACTTCATGTATGGAGAAACTGAAGCAAAGGTATTTAGGTTTCATAGTTTCATAGTTTCAGGGTCGGAAGGGACCTAATAGATCTTCTAGCCCGACCCCCCGCCAGGGCGGGAGAACAACCCCCAAAAAAAAAACAAAAAAAACCCACTCACCCTAAAAACAAAAACGGGACTCAAATGAGTCCAGCCAGGTAAGTATCCAGCCTCTTCTTAAAGATCCCCAGGGTAGGGGCCAGCACCACCTCCCTTGGAAGTTGGTTCCAGCTCCTAGCCGCCCTAACTGTGAAGTAGTTTTTTCGGATGTCCAATCTGTACCTCCTCTCCATCAACTTGTGCCCATTATTCCATGTTATGCCAGCAGGGGCTAGGGGAAACAGCGTCTCCCCCAAACCCTTCTGGTTCCCCCTAGTGAGTTTATAGACGGTCACCAGGTCCCCCCTCAGCCTTCTCTTGTGGAGGCTGAATAGGTTCAAGTCCCGCAGTCTCTCACTGTAGGGTCTGCCCTGTTGTCCCCGGATCATGCGGGTGGCCCTCCTCTGGACCCTCTCCATGTTGTCCACATCCCTCCTGAAATGGGGCGCACAGAACTGGACACAATACTCCAGCTGCGGCCTGACCAGCGTCGCATAGAGGGGGAGGATCACCTCCCTGGCTCTACTCGAGATGCACCTGTGGATGCACGACAAGGTCCGGTTAGCCCTGCCAACCATGACCTCGCATTGTCGGCCCATGTTCATCTTGGAGTCAATAATGACACCAAGATCCCTTTCCGCCTCCGTGCTCTCAAGTAGGGAGCTCCCCATCGTATAAGTGTGCTGCTGGTTCCTACTACCCAAGTGCAGCACCCTGCACTTGTCCGTATTGAAACGCATCCTGTTCCTGTCTGCCCACCCCTGTAACCTATCCAGATCCTTCTGCAATCTCTCTCTCCCTGCTAGCGTGCTCACCTCCCCCCAAATTTTGGTGTCATCAGCGAATTTAAACAGGTTGCTCTCCACCCCAACATCAAGATCGCTGATGAAGACATTGAACAGCGCAGGGCCCAGGACCGAGCCCTGAGGGACTCCACTACCCACCTCCCCCCAAGTCGAATATGATCCATCCACCACCAATATGATCCATCCACCACCAATATGATCCATCCACCACCAGGTGTCCAAGCCTGACTGCCATCTCAGCTGAAACCCCAAGCTCTTGCTTGGGTTTAAAGTAACCTATGCTACATTTTACCTTCAATTAGTAAATGCCAACAGCAGAGCCCAGTTTAGTTACCTTACCAGCATTACTCCTTAACCACTCCCAGGAGCATGAGAGCAAGAAGTGACTTCAAAAGAGCTCATGGCTATTTCTGCCCATTCATAAAACACTCAACCACAAGAAGTAATAGTCTAATTTGAATGCTTACTGAAACCCTGTGACAAAAAACAACAGCATTTTAATATTATAAAAGCTTTAGTCTGTCTGTCTGTAACACTTTATTCAGACTGACAGAGACACATGGCAGAGCACTGCCATGACAGTGGGGACTAAGGGGCCAGAGCAGGGTGGGGGAGCCAGGCCAGCAGAGCTAACATGGCCCTCCCCAGCCCTGCACCTTGGAGGCAGAGGGGGACAACAGGGACTGGAGCACTGCCATGACCGGGGGGGGGGGGGAGGCAAAGCCAGTGGCGCTGGCCTCTCTCCCCCTGCCCAGCTGCTCCTTGGAGGCAGCAGGGACGCGGGGTGCTGGTTGTGCAGCGCTGGCCTCACCCTACCCCACATGGAGGAGTACCGCCATAACAGTGAGGACTGGGGTTGGAGCTGGGAAAACTTGTTCTCTTCTTTTCTAAACAGTTTCTGGTCTTCCCCTTGTGCCTGGTAATTCTCAGTACATACCTCCCTTAATGGGCTGTAAGTTCCCACTCCCTCACTGGTGCACTAGTCACCAAGCATCTCAGTGTGTCATAAGCAGTGCTATAGCTCTTACCCGCTTTGGTTCCACTGCCTTGGCCACAAAATGGTATTTGTGCATGGCACGCACCCACTGGCAGATGGATGTGCAAGCTTTGGACACTTTGGCTATAGCTGCTGGTTGAAATTCCTCGCTGTCAATATATGGCTGGATGGCTTTAATCACAGCATCTGCAATGTTGTCCTGGAAGAAGTGATCAAAATCAAGGTCAAAAGACTAGTACAATTGGAAAGACTAGTTTCCATAGCTAAGAGCATGCAAGTGAGTGCCACAGCTAGCTTCATGTACAGCTTCATGTCCAGCCTTTAGCTAACCAGGTCAAATGAGGATACTCTTCAGAACAAGTTCAGAGCAAAAGTTTTAACTCACACCTCTGAAGATGCCTCAGTCACTCTGCCTTGGAAGAAGTAATGGGGAGGAAACAAGAGATGAAGAATGCAAGGCTGAGACAATGAAGGGTTCAGCTCTGAGATGGTACAAATTCCTGTGGGGATGGAGAGAGCAAAGGGGTGAGAGCACTAGAGATGGTGGGACAGGAGGAGATTGCTGAATGACAGAGGATGTGCTGTAGGCTCAGCAGTGGGATAGTGCAAGACCCTGCAATTCTGTTGGGAGAGATGACAACAGAGGCTGTTGAACTGAAACGTGAACTCTGTGTCTGTTTGCCTTCCCTCAGAATGGCTTTGTGGGTGCAGAAATAAAATTTTAGAGTTAAGTGGGGTTTTACTGAACAGGAAAATCTGATTAAAGTAATTGTATCTCTCTACTCTTGTGTTTATACTAGCCCTGGCAACAAGGCCTATAAAGGCTATGCTTGCTACCAAATGTCAGCAAATTCAAAGAGGGCTAAGCATTTCCCCTAACTTCAGATATGTTATCATTGACTTCCTTCAACCTCTAAACACCCTTCCCTGCCAGACCCAGTAAATGATCAAGGCATCCTCTCCTAGTGAATAGGCTTCTGTCACTGCTGCTGACTGGACCAGCTCACACAAGACCCATCTGTAGTGAACAGATAGCCACACTCCTGCTAAGCCCCAAAGAAAGCTATAAGATTTCACCTACAATAGTTATGGTGGAAGGAATACAAGGCTGTTTGAGTCTGGCTTTTTCATGCATATAGCCCTGCTTCTACAGTGCCAAGGATCTGGGCTGGCCAGACACATTTCCATGTTGCTGGTATTTAACAGTAATATGAAATAAATTGCTGCAGTGCAGAGAGAGCGGGGCTTCTAGTTCACCTGCTAGTGCATGAACACTTGCTAAAACTGTGCAGTCAAGCTTGCTCCAGCCCTGCGTTTGATCTCTAGCAATTTATCGTTGCCCAAAGCAATCAAACTCACCTCAACAATTTAAGAACCAACAATGCCCATATACCTTGATACTGTCTTTGCTCTCTTTACAGTGTGAAGCCGAGTTGAAGTTTAGCTCCAAATATTAGTATCAGAAACACTATCATCATAGGATCACTATTATCATCCATATATGACATCACTGCCACTTACATTTCATTTTTCCCTCCTGGAACACACAAAAGAGGCCAGATCTCTGGGCTTCACACTGATGCACCATCATCCTCTTTATTTCTGCCACTGCTTACCTTGTCATATTTGAAGAGGCTTTCCAGGAATTTCCCCGGGTCCTGAAGAAGGCCTTTGCCTGGCTCCCAGTAGTCATCAACCTTGGAGCCTGGCTTATCACCTGCCACTTTCTTGGGCTTGATTCCTTTCATAATACAGACGGCTTCAATCACCATCTTTACACCAACAGGAGGACGCTGCATTGCTCGAACCTTAAAAATATACCAGTGAATGTAAGAGGCAGAATAATCACCTTGGCCTTATCCCTGCTCTCCACACAGCATACTGGCAACTATGGTAGGCCAAAGGACAGTGTTGATGCAATACAGAGGCTGAACTAACTGAACAGAAGTTCTCAACTAGGGTGCTATGATGCAGATACTGCCACCCCTGCCACTGCAGCCAGGTAAAACTGCCCCACATGCATGGCTACTGCTTTAGGGGTCTCTGATCAGCTTAAGGCAGGGAAGCTCAACCTTCAGCCTGTAGGCCAGATCCAGCCCCTGGCCTGTGGGGCTTCTCATGGGCCCCTGGAGAGCCCTATGGGCTGCAGCCTCATGCACTAGACTGGGCAAGCAGAGCAGCTGTGGGACCTAACTGTGGCATGCAGGGGCTGAATGGTGGTGGTGCAGAGCCCCAGGGCCCAATCACAGCATGAAGGGGCCAGGTCGGGGTGGTGCAGGGCCCTAGAGCCTGAATGGACAGGGGTGGTACGAGGCCTCAGAACCTGATCCCAGCGCACAGGGCCAAGTGAAAGTAGTATAGAGCCCTGGGGCCCAATTCCTGTGAACAGGGGCAGCGCAGGGCCCAATTCAGCCCATGGACTGGCCTTGCCACCATACATGTGACCTGTAGAGCCAAAACCACGAGCAGCGCTGGCCTAAAGCAGTTAGGAGCTGTCTCGTGCTGTATAGCCTTTCCCAGTCCAGCCCCTCCCATGCTCCTCCTAGAAACGGATGTATGCAGGGCAGTTACACCTGCAGGCCTCTGTTTTGAGGAGGAGCTGGACCCAGAACTGCTACACAGCATCCTGCCTGCCTTAGGCTGATCTAAACCCTAATGAAGCAGGGGCATGTGCATGTGCCAGAGTCTTTCCTGGGTTGGCTGTGCAGCAGGTGGGGGATAGTTTTACCCTGGGGGAAGCAACACCCAGTTGAGAAGCATTTAAGTAACCTGAGGCAGCACCAACAGTGGTTCTCAACCAGGGATGCCACCACATTCAAAAAAGTAGAGAATGGATGCTGTGACACTAAAACGGTTGAGAGCCACTGCACTAGAGAGTCAGGACCTTACATCTGCCTTTGTGCAGATAACCGTAAAGCTGGGTCTCTGCTTATGGGGCAGATCATCTGCTCATGCATGCTGAGGAATGTACTTTGCAGAGGTGGTGATGGTAAGAGATACAGTATGGAGGGAATAATTCTCCCCACCTGTGTGGAACACCAGTTTGTCAAGCCCAGATAGTTGGGCTTAGCACAGAAAGGTGTTAATCCTATATTGCTACAATATTGTCAGAACATATACAAACAGGAATTTCTTATCACACCCTTCCAACCACAGAAACTGAGTAAATTACCCTAAGCCACAACATCAGTCAGTGGCAGAACTGGGAACCAAACCTAGGGAAATGCCAAGTCCTGTGTTCTGAGTGCCAGAGGCTACACCCCTCATGATATCCTTTAGCTTTGGATTTCATAATTCCCTACAGTCACACGTGGTATCTGTTTGACAGTATTTCTCTGTTTCACTGAAATCACCTATGGTTATTCCTTAAACTATGAAAATTTACTGCTTGTGCTCATCTGTATTTAATGTAAACTAAGGTTTGATACCACATATGTGCTTAGGCACTGTGCAAAATAACAATGAGATCACTAATAAAGTGATGATATATGGGAATTAGCACCAACTATTCACAGTTAGCACCAAGTTCTTCTATGGAGTCTGATGTGTGTATATTTTCTACCCTTATGTAACTAGAACTCACTTGGGTTCAGGCTACATTGTCTGTCACAATACAGTTTGGATTCCCTGCTTTATGCATCTTTCGAGGCTGAGATCACAAGCAATTGAACACAGCAACCTGACACCTGCTGGGAAAATGGCTCACCTGAGCTGCCAGGTGTGGACTCTGATTATGGGGGCGGGAGGAGATTGTGCCCTCCCCTGGCTGCAGGTAGAGAGCAGAATTACTGATGATGAGTAAGGATCTATTTAACTGAGCACTTGAGTGCTGTGCTCACTGTTGCTGGCTGTTAGAGACAGTATAGGTGGCTCTGGTAAGTAATTCCAGGAACTTGGCTTGATGCTTAAAGAGAGGTGTCTTTCTAGCTTCTTTAGGGCTGAAGATGCCCTGGTAAAGAAAGGCTTAGGTGGTAGCTATGTGATTTGCCCTAAATGGAAAATCCCTAGATCCCACAGGGACAGAACAATGTGGCTCAGTCTTTATACCTGAGGCAATGGGTGCTATGGGAGAGGTGGGGTTTTCTCACTGATCTCCTACATCTTTGGGGGGTCAGGTGTGCCAGATGGGTCTCTTCTGAATCCTAGCATTTAATCTTTCAGTACTGGAAAAGATGTGGACTGAGTCCCTGAGCTGCAGTTTGCGTTTGCTGTTCAAGATAGATCTGGTACTCTCAGTGGTTGCTAGGCAGAAATTTGGGACTGCTGTACCTCTACTTCGGGAATAGACTGGAAAGACAAACCACACATCTGTCTCTTCCAGCATTCACAACTCTCGCCATGTTCAACCGGAGACGCTCCAGATGTTTCCTACTGGATACAGTCAACAGAGGAGCAGAGTTTGTGGAGACCTTGAAGACTATCTACCCCAAAGCAGACATCCTCCATGAGAAGGACTTTGACTGGCTCTTTGACTGCCCCAAGACAGAGATGTTCCTTGAGTGGTTCTGCAACACAGTGGGGGAAGAGAATGTATTGAGCCCCACAGAAGTGGCAGCCTATCAGAAGCTGCTCAGCTCAGGGAAGCCTATTTTGGAAGGCAAAGCCCTAGACCAGGTGCTGCAAACCTGCCACCAATCTCCACAGCTGATAGGCATGATGCCAGAGGAGGAGGGCCCCTCCCTGGAAGCTCTAAAGCATGAGACCCAAGCATTGCAGAGCTATAATGCTTGCCAGCTCCAACGGCGAAACAAGCTTCAGATCCGTGCAGCTAGCATGAAGCAGGAGCTGTGCCACTTAGCAGAAGAGGAAGAGAAGGCAGTCTGGAAGCTGAGACAGGCCCAGCTGCATTTGGAACTGGAGAACTCTCAAACCAACGTTGCCTTGAACCAGGCCTGCAAGACAGCAAAGCAGCTGGTAGAGTGGCATAGGGAAGCTGGGAAAGGGAGACTGCAGGTGCTGATGTCTGCAGCAGACCTGAGCCACTACATGGAGATAGAAGAACTGGCCACAGGGGCTTTAGAGGGATTCATCCAGAAAGTGCTGCCAGATCTTCATCTAGGAGGTGCAGACATACTGCCAGTGAAGGGACAGGGTAGCTCCCAGGAAAAGGTGGACACTGAGGTCAGGGCAAAGTTGGCCCAGGATGTACTGCCAGAAGACGCGGGGAATGTCAGGGATGAGTATATGAAAGATGCCAAAGTGAGCCTAGGAGCACTGGAGGGCCAGGGCAGCTGCCAGGAAGACTTAGTCAAGAGACTGTTAATGTCAAGGCTTACCTGGAAAACCCTGCTAAAAGAGGAGAGAGACCTGAAAGCAGAGGCTGGGGGGGTGGAGGCCCTGGATGTTCAAAATAGCTGCCAGGATGCAGTGGAGATGGTCGCAAAAGCAGACCAAATGATACTGGAAAAAACAGGGAGCCCTAACACTGTACTCCTGGAAAACCTGGGTAGCCACCAAGAGGAACTGGGACGTCTAAAACTAGTTTATATCTGCAGCCAAAGACAGCTGATCACCACCTCGGCAGAAATGGATGGTATCTATGCTGGCTTGCAGTGGGCAAGGATCCTGAAGACCAAGAAGGAAAACTGGGTAGGTCTTGCCTTGTCTGTGCATCATTGTCACAACTCCTGACTCCTATAGTAGCAGCACCAAGCAAGCTATGGGGAAGCCATTAGTGACCTCTGTTTTAGGGTATTGGCCAGGATTTGTCCTCCAAGGTTGAGGCCCATTTTGTTACCTGTAAGCAGATGTCTGCCATTTTGTATTCTCTTTTTCAGCCAGTGAAGGACAAGGAAGAGCTAAGCCTTCACATTGCCACCTGCCAAGAACAGCTGCAAACAATCCACAGTGACATAAATCAGACCCAGGCCAACAAACTCATGCCTCTGCTTCAGGCTGGTACCCACTTCTTTTGCTTGCCTATCCTGTCTGGAGAGCTTAATGTGGAAGCTGTTCGCCTTGGGTATATTGCTTCAAGGCAAAAGGAGGTTGCGGTGCAGCTAATGGACCAGCACGGTCGCTTGGAGCTGCTAGAGCTCCAACTGATGCTGGAGGAGAGACAGTTGCATAAGGTGGGAATGTTATTGGAGGAGATGGTAGCTACCCTGCAGGAAGACTCGGACAAGCTGCAGGAAAGGCTGGTCTGCTTTGAAGATCCCAGCTTCCAGGTTAACCAGTGTCCACGCATGCTGTTAGACTCTGGTGATCTTACCACCTTACGGTAAAGATAGCTCTGCCACTGGGCTGGTGACTGGGAGAGGGGTGGAGTTGAATGGAAATAGTTAAGTCATAAATTAGAGGCTTGAGAAGCTGTCACAAGAAGAAACTAATACAGAGGGATCTTTTGGGTATACGTAATGAAGAAAAGGTAACTCTTCAATTTACCCTCCCATAATACAAGAGTAAAGACCAGATTCTGGGCAGGGTTAAGCTTCTTCCTAGGTAGATCATTTTGCAAGACTGAGAAGTATCTGCCAGGCTAGCATCACTAATACAGGCAACCCCCGCTTAACGTGGTTTCGATTAGCGCTATTTCACTATAGCGCTCATTTAAAATTGATACCTGATTCCACTGAACACTGTAGTGAAACTGGCTGAGCACTCGGTGAAATCAGCGAGTTTTGGCAGGAAGGTGGGGAGAAGCAGAGGTGCCGGGGCAGTAAGTATGGGGTGGGCGTGAGCGTGGGGCGGGGGAGAAGCCAGGCACGGCTGGTGAACAGACTGGTGAGGTGGGGGAGCGGGGGGACAGGTTGCAGCTGGCCAGGCACATAGTGGGGAGGCTGCAAACCCCACTGCTCCCGGCCGGCTA